AGGTCCCTACCTCTCTTCTTACTGTAACTTGAGCTCAAGCCTCCGTGCCTTGATTCTCTCTCTTACCCCCCTCTAAATAAAGGTTGATAACTCACAGCAATTTCATGCACTGGCAGACGGCTGTGAAATTCAATCCATGCCTTCTTTTCCTCAAAAGTAGCAATCTAAAGCAAAGCAGACAGCAGGTCCCCATGGACCAAGTAACAGTCCAGAGGGTTCTGGTTTGCAGGAAGCCACTGAAAGAACTCAGTCCATGGACTGTGGTAAAGAAACATTGGACCAGAATTGAGAGGGGCCACATGTGGACAAACTGAGAGGCCTCAAGTTGTTGGGGGAGAATGATGGAATTTTGTTGCCAGGAATCCTTGTAGGTTTTAGTCCTGTGACCTTAGCAACATGTTGGTATAAGATCACTGAACTTAAACAGAGGCCACATTGATGACAGCTGAAGATGGAGTTCTATTATTGGCCCAGTGCTTTCCTAACATGCACAAAGCCCTGGGGTTGCTCCTAGACAGTGTAGTGGGCATCTGTAATCCCAACACTCAGGAGGTGGAAGCATGAGGATCAGGAGTTCAAGGCCATCCTTTACTACATAGGAAATTAGAGGCCAGCCCAGGCTACACACGATTTTGTCTCCAAAATAAGAAAAAAAAAGTCAACAAATTAAAAAAAATAAGGATAACTAAAAAATGGAACTTGACCACTGACAAATGGAGATGAGTGACAGACAGAAAAAGGAGGGGCCACAGGTACTGAGAGTTTCAGTCCGAATGACAGAGGAAGTCTAGGATAGAGTGAAAGATAAGTGGGCTCCATGTTGTGTTAGCTGTTGGTTTCAGATCTGGGGACTGAACGCCTGGTCCAGACAATGTCACAGGACTAGCCATGCCTGGCTAGAAGGAGCTAAGCCTTCTGTCCAGGCAGAAATGTAAGTAGGTGGCAAAAACCTTAGTGATCATGGTAAATATTACATATATTATTATTAATATACATATTAATAATATATATATTAATGCAAGCATTGGAAGACAGCTCAGCCAGTAAAGCATTTGCCTTGGAAGCATGGTAAGCTGAGTTCTATCCTCAGCACCCATGGAAGAGCTGGGTACCACAGTGCAACACTATACTCCCAGTGATGGGAAGGCAGAGACAGCCAGATCCCCAAGGCTTGCTGGCCAGCCAGTCTGGTCCAGCCACCCCACCACCCCAGGTCCCATGAGAGGCCCTCGCTCAAAAACCTAAGACTGAGGGTGTTTGAGGAAGGGAGCCGGCCAAGGGTGTTTGGCAGGTGAAGAGTTCTGAACCAAAGTCAGAAGAGGAGGGCATGCCTCCTTGCAGGGCAGGGTTGTAGCTTCTAAACTACACGGACATGACAGCAATATGTGCCACGGCTACTATTTGATTGTCACTGTGAGACGGCCACCGTATGCTGGCCAATGCATGACTGCCACTTTGTAATAACCGTCGTGGGATGTTCTCTATGTGACGGTTACTGTAAAACGGACCCTGGGTGAGGGCCACTGTGTGATGGTCACTGTAAGATGATCTTTGTGTTCTGGCCACAATGCGATGGACAACGTGTGGTGGTCACACACACGTGATGACCACCTGGAGGAGGTGCTGTGTTGGCCACCACGTGATGGTCACGGTGTGATGGACATCATTTGACGGCAACAGTGTGACAGCCACTGTGTTATGGCCATCTTATGATGGTCACACTCTGGTGGCTGCTGTGTAATGGTCACTGTGTAATGCCCACATGTGACAGACACCTCTGTGATGGCCATAGCTCAATGGCCCCTGTGTGAAGACCACCGGGACTATGTGATGGTGACTGTGTGGCGGTTACTCCATGATGGCCACTGTGTGGCAGACACTAGTTGGTGATCTCTGTGTGGTGGTCAGTGTGCTGATCGCCACTTTTTAATGGCCACCGCGTGATGGTCGCTATGTGATGTCCACTCTGTGAGAGTGTCTGGAATCCAGGCACAACCCTTTGTCTGTCACAGCCATTGCCAACTGGTTGGAGTATATTCTGTTTGAGGGGCTGGAGATGGCTTCTGAGCAGAGAGAGGCTCCTCTCAAGTTGCCTGAGGCTTGACTAGCAGGACCCATATCTCTTGTAGTGGCTCTGGATTTTGCCAAGTCCTTCTCCTTCATGGAGTTTGTTCCCCTCGTTCTCTCTTCCTGAGACAAATAAAATGAGTGGTTCCAGTGAGCGTGGCCTTCGGGCGCTCACCACAGCCCACCCTCTGAGGATCTTGACCTGTGAGCTTGGCATCAAATGTGTCTGCTTGTGGTAGCACAGGGCTTCCTGCCTTCTGGTCCACCGCAGACACCTAACTCACCTCAACACACTTTCCACACTTTCTGGCTTAGTACTCTATGGGAAGCTGGCCTCGAGTTACAGGGACTGTTTTTTCATAACAAGTGAATTCTGACTGCAGAATCTCCACAGGTGATCCCGGAGGCATAAGCAGTTTGCACTTGGGAATTTCCATTCTTCCTGGCTGTGTCCCCTCTGTTCAGGGTTGCTTCTTTGGATCTCTCATGAGCATTGATTCGACAAGCTAGCGGTGGTACACTCCGTGTAAGGTGTCTCAAAAACAAAATGACAAGAAGAGAAAGCGCCACCGTAGCGAGGGACTTGACAGCTAGTGTTCTCTGTAAAACAGACTTCAGACACCCACTTGGGCACCCTCAAACCCTTTTATCTCCTCCATCAGTGTGCAGCTAACACCTGTCCCTTTGTGGTTTCCTGACACTGAAGACCATCAACCATGTTTCCTAGTCTCCATCCTTTTATCCTTTAACTGAAAGCTTTTCTAGTCTTCACGAGTGGGTTGAGAATGGATTCCACAAATGCACTGAGGTCAGAGAGAATGCATGTCTCCACGTATCTTTTGTTCTCACAGCACCAACATCAGAAACTGGGCACCATGGGCTCCTCAGTAAATCTCTGTAATTAATCTGTAGTTTACTGAGATAAACATATTCTAGGACAGTTTACGAACACCAAACATTTATTACGAACATTTATTTTGAACCCAGTTATTTGCGAAAGAGTCACAGGGCCCCCCTTATTGATAAGACTAATCAGTCACGCCTTACCTAATGTCTTATAGCCGTGTAGGCTGTCATACTGGAGCCACTATGGCAAGTGAGTTGGCCTGTTTGAGAGCTGTAAGTGATCAAGAGCCTTTGTTTGCTACAGTGGCAGTCTCCATGCATTAAGTGTCGTTAACTGAAGTCAGCACACAGCAGCCCACACCGGTGACCCCAGGAGCAGGTGTTCAGGCCAGCTTCCCCAACACAGCACGCACGGCTCACATCAGCCTGGGCTATGTCCTTTGAGCTGAGGCATGTTCTGAAAGCACGTTTGGTTCACAGGTTCTTCCTTGGAGCAGAAACTCTCACTTCCCTCATTTTCTCTCTGGGGATCTTAAAATAAGAAGCTAAAAGATCCTCTCAGTCCAGGAGTTACACTGGGCACTTCCAGTGGTGTGTGGTTTTGAAAACACTGGGGGGGGGCAGGGGGAGAGAGAGAGAGAGAGAGAGAGAGAGAGAGAGAGAGAGAGAGAGCCACACGTGCCCACCCTTGTTACACCCTTCACACACACACACACACACACACACACACAACGCCTCTCCTTTGAAATTACCATCTTTGACTAGAAGGCTATGAGAAGCTGGGTCAGGTGGAAATTGAACTGACAGCTTTTGATTCATTTGTTATTGAGAAAAATAAGGCACTTGTCACAAGGGAGTTCCGGCATGTTCTGAGGGAGACAGCCTCCCCACATGCACCCACCCTAGCTCCCTGGTGGTTTTTCCACCAGCAGTAACAAAAAGACCCTGAGGAAGCGTCTGAAGTGTCTGAGGTGTCTGCTGGCATCAGACCCTCTTAAGTTCCAGTGAGCTGCAAGGATATGGATGCCATCCCTGGATGCTGGGTCGGGTACACCTGGGCCAGTTTCCATAGCAACGTGCCACAGTTGGACTTAAGCAGTTAGCACCTCACAGAGCGGCAGGGTAGAAGACCAAGGAAACCACAGGCCTGGTTCTTCCAGCAAGATGAAAGGAACCTCAGTCCTGGCCTCTCTGGAAGCTTCTGTAGGATTGCATAGCATGGGTTGTGTCTGAGTCTAAGTTGTCCATTTTTATGAGAACATATTGGGAACCCACTTTATTGTTTTGGGTTTGGGTCTTTGAGGAAAGCTCTCCAGTAGCCCAGGTTGACCTTGGACTCACTCTAAAACCAAAGATGACCTTGACCCTGCGGTTCTCCCAATTCCACCTTCCAAGATGGGGGATTACAAGTGAACAGTCACTGCATGTGGGTTAGGCAGTGCTGAGGCTGCAACCCAGGGCCTCGTGCATGCTGGGAACTCACTCCATCAACAGTGTCCTATCCCCAGCCTGGCTTAGGACTTCAGTGATGTCACCTCCGCTGGTTATCTATGAAGTCCTTTCCCCAATCATGTCAAATCTACCAGGACTGGGACTTCACCATCCAGGAGAGCAGACACAGCTTAATCTAGAACAGTGAACAAATTAGGCTTTGCAGGCCCAAAGGTCACCAGCTAAGCTACTCACCCCTCTGTGATGGCACAAAAGCCTCCACGGTCAGCATGTGTCCTGACTGTGAAACATGAGTTCCATGTGCCTCCTTCTGTGCCACAAAGCAGAGTTGTTTAGGTCAGAAGTTACCCCATGCGCCTGTAGCTAATGGGCCAGACAACGGCCAGATACAGACATGCAGAGATCACCCCACTCAGGCCTTGGAGCACATGAGTTCCTCCCTGTGTTTGTGTACATGGAAGGCCGGCTGACAAATCCGTGCCTACCGTGTGTGTTCACAAGAACAATTTGTAGGAAGCCAGTGTCCTGGACCCCACAGAAGCCCTGAAAACCTTGGCCCAGAGGACAGACCCAAGCAGCAGTATCTGTTGAGTCACTGAAGATGGTGTAAAAAAAAATACCAAGGAAATACACACCCGGCTCTAGATGAAAATCTGAGCCTCATGTTCCACAGCACGTAGCTGATCATGTTTGTCAAGACACGCATGGTCTCTTCCGTTTTAAGTGCCGCTCCCGACAGCAGGGTCTGGAAAGAACGGGAAATTGAAATGAACGAAGTGGATATCAGAAACCTCTGATGTGAAAAAAAAGAAATGTCTCTGTGCATTTGATAAGCTGTGTGGAGTCTCTACTGAGAACCATAAATGGAGAGTTTCATTGCTTCTCAGCTACCAGGGAGAGAACAGGGCACGGCCCTGTCTGGGTTTGGAGGCATGTTTACCATCCTTCTGTCCTGGCTGAGGGGCAGAGGCAGAGCTAGGCCTGGCAGCCGACACCCTCAGCACAGCCTCTGCTCCCCATCTTCCATCATAGCTACTGAGCAATGTCTGACAGACATAAACTCTAAACGTTCAGCAGGGATTCTCAGTAGCCCTGTGCTAATGGGTCCACCTGGTAGCTGGCTGAGTATCCAGCCTCCATCAATTTTCAGCATCGTGGCGAGCCCAGACCTCACTGCTCAAATCGAAGAATAGTGATATTCCAGTTGAAATATCCTGTCTGTAGTAGTTCAATACCAGTTTTGACATCCTCCAACAAACTGTTCTCTGGCTTTTCTTTATTATCATTTTATGTTGGTGCATGGGTATGAGTGTTTTACCGAGTGTATGTATGCCTGTGTACCGCTTGTGAGCCTAGAGCCTGCAGATGCCAGAGAAGGGCTTTGGATTCCCCCTGAACATGGGTTACAAATGGTAGTGAGCCACCATGTAGTGTTGGGAACGGAACCCAGGGCCTCTGCAAGAGTAGCCAGTGTTCCTAACCAACGACAATCTCTCTGTCCCCTCACATTGATTCGTAGCTAATGCCCATACTAATTAAAGAAACCCATCAGAATCCCAAAACTGCAGCTCTCCATGGCCGATAGGTGATTACAATTGAACATGATAGAGATTTTTAAAGTATAAGACAAAACAAACAAAATATCTCCTGAGATTTTCATTACTGCTTTAAAATTAAAATATAATCCCATCACTTCTCCCTTTCCATTTCCTCCCTACAGCCCCTCCCATGGTCCTTCTCATTCCATCTCAGACTGTTTGATGACCTCTTTTCTCGTGTGTGTGTGTGTGTGTGTGTGTGTGTGTGTGTGTGTGTGTGTGTTCAACATGGTGAGTTCACTTAGTGCCTTGGGTATATATAATTTAATGCTGAGTACTTTGTACTGGGTAACCAACTAAGAGGCTCATAGACTTGGGAGAGGCTAGTTCTTCCCCTCTCTGAAGTCATTAGTTACCCATACTTCTTTGTCTAGGGGTGGGGCCCCTTCCATGTGAGCATGTCTATTGGGGTTGTCATTGTTCAGCTCTTGTATAGGTAGCCATATTGCTTCTGTATTTTGGGTGAAGCTACCCTGTCATTTCTAGGAGACACAATCTCACATCAGATTTTGGGACTCTCTAGCTCTTACAATCTTCCCATCATCTCTTCCTCGATGTACCTTGGGTGCAGGAGCAGTGACTATGTAAGCTGCCAAGGAAAGAAGTAGTCAGTAATCACACCCAGCTATCACACCTATGAACTGCAATAGTAGCCAACATGGCAAGATAACCCTAACATTGCAACAACGGCACTCATGTCTCTACAGCAACCAATGGTTGTCTCATTAAGACCTGCTAAACGGAAGAGAAATCGTGACTGGAACCAGAAACCTAACCAAGGACTGAGGAATGGATTTTAGAAGAGAAGCTATGACTGCCATTTGACTAACCCAGCATACTTGCTAACTGCTTTCTAAAATGTACCCTTACACCCACAGGTAAGCGTAGCTCTCATCAGAGAAGGCTGTCTTGGCAGTAGACACGGAGAACAATAGCTGATCATAATGCAGAGAACAATAGACCATTGTGGGGACCCAGCTCACAGAATACATCCTGTTTGTCTTTAAAGAACTCTTGCAAGTTAGTAAAGTTCTGCAACCCTTGCTGCTCAGGAGGCTGAAGCAGGAAGGCCATAAGCTCAAAGCCTGCCTGGACCACAAGGAACTCAGGGCTAGCCTGGGAAACTTAGCAAGACCCTACCTCGAAATAAGAATTGGAAAAAGGCTGAGAATATAGCTCAGAGATAGAATATTTGCCTAAATAAGCAAGGCCCCTAGATTTTAATACACACACAGAGAGAGAGAGAGAGAGAGAGAGAGAGAGAGAGAGAGAGAGAGAGAGAGAGAGAAGGAGAGAGAAGGAGAGAGAGTGAGAGAGAGAGGGATGGAGAGAGAGAGAGAGAGAGAGAGAACTGACAGACAGCACAGTGTACAGATCTGAAGACAACATTTACAAGAACCCTTTAACAACATCACCCCTGAATCCATTAGCAAGCCATGCTGACCACCCATTCTCCCCAGTGTGTGGGAGATCATTGCCAGGAGTATGAGCTATTTGCTGTCTTCCATGATGTGGGGTTGGGAAGGTGGCTCAGTAGGCAAAGTGCTTGCCACCCAAGCATGAGAACCTGAATTCGAGTCCCCAGCACCCATAAAAGCCTAAAAGGAGCAGCAAGCCCCTTTAATCCCAGGAGGACCCTTGGGACTCGCTGGTCAGACAGGTGAGCCCAATCAGTGAGCTCCAGGTTCAGCAACAGAGTCTGCTCAAAAGACTGAGGTGGACGGAAGACACCTGACACCAACCTCTGGCCTCCAGATGTGCACACAGACCTCACACACAAGTGCACGTATACACCAACATGCATGTGCCCACACAGGTGCAGATCTGTGTGTCCATCCATGTATTGGCATGTCTTTAGCATGTTAGTCTTTAGCATGTTAGTCCTGTGGGCTCTCAAGGACTTTCCCACTATCTCCTGTTTCTGAAAAATCCTGTCTGCATCTACTGACTCTGGCCTCCTTGATTATTGCTCATATTTCTTTCTTATTATGCCAGGTAATTTTTTATTTTATGCCAGACATTGTGGATAATACATTGAGTTCCTGAATTCTATTGCCTTCTTATAAAACACGTTTTTAAAAAATACTACCTATTAATGTTTTATAACCACAAAAGTAAGAGTATTACAGACGGGATGCTTTTTATTTCTCCAGAGCAAAACTGACATCTTTAGCAATGATAAAGGCTCGAAGATTTCATCTGACACATAGACTCCATTGTTCAGAACAACTTCGAAAGGATCCAAGCCTGCTCTTAAGATGATTTGTTTCCTTAGACCGTTCTAAATTGTTGCAGCCCCAAAATTGCTTCAATCCAATAGCTGTGTCTTTGTCATCAACGTGTTCTGTGCTTCTGTAGGTTCCAGAAGAAAAGGGCACTGCCTGTCTCTTCCACCGCGTGACATGGAATGTGGCTAACCCCCCACCCCCAACCCCCTTCCAGGAGTCACGAGTCTTCTCCTGAAGAGACAATTATCCCTCCCATCCTGCTGTTCCCTCAGATAGTAACTCGGTGGTAATTAGAGAATTAGAGTCATAGCTTCCAGCTACCAGCCAGGCTCTTTGCCTTGCTTGATATTCCCCCATAACTTTCTTTAAAATGTTTGATGGAATCTGAAGCATTATATTTTTCCTGTTCTGGTTTGGAGAAATCCTCACTCTGCTTTCCTTCCTGTGCCATGAAAGCTGTATCATCTCCAGGGCAACAAACACTGTGTTACTGTGCTCTTTGATACAAATTCTCAGAACAAGCTATACATGTAGCTGCCCCTCCTTTGCAAGCAAGGTAGAATGAAACCTACTTGCCTTCTGCTTCCCTGGCTGTTTGGGATTTAGTTCTACAAGGATATTATGTCAAAGGAATAGAACACACAGGAAATGGGAGCTAGGGAAGATGGCTTGGGAGATGACTCAGCGGATAAAGACGACTGTGGCCAAGGCAGACCTCCTGAGTTCCATCCCCAGGATGTACATAGTAGAAGAAAAGAACTGACTTCCACAAGGTCCTCTGGACTCCTCACAGGCACCAAGACATGTGAGAATATTGGAAGCACACACACAAAATAAATAAATGTCACAAAGTCAACTTGCCATTTATGTATATAGGCAAAAAGAAAACAGGAAATGAAATGAAATGAACTTATTTTACTAAGTTGCCCCAGGTTCCTAAAGCAGAAAGAAGAATTTCAAAGATCAGCAGTCCCCTGGATTTTCTCCTTATAATAATTTTTTAAAAAACAGAGCTAATTGTATTTGAAAAGACTAAAGTTTTAAGCCATACTTTAAAGAACTACCATGTTTAATTATTGCCTTTATGAGACTTTTATAAATAGAAAATTTTGGTGCCGCAGGTAAATCCTATTTTTACCTTTACTGCCATCAACCCGTGAGTCACTAGACGAGGCAGACACCCCTCTTCCCACAGGTGATTGTTTTTATATTGCAAAATTGATTTTGCCCTTAAAACTACAGATGTGCGCCAACTAGTTATTTGGTATTTATTAAATGTCAACCATGTGTCCAGCTTTGGGACTGTTTAAACATTATTTTTGTGATTAGATGCCTGTGTGGGCTGGCTCACTGGAGAGTTTAACCATTTCATGTGTAGAGTGCACCCACAGAGACTTTCTTGTTGGAAGGGAGGATATTTTGGAAGAGTTAACTAATATCTAGTTTCCATCAAGAGAAGGAAACCAATTAAATTAATTAAAGCAGATAGTGCTGAAGCCAGGCCAAATCTGGCATGCTAGGATCTCCTGGGTAACCAGCCATGCGAACGTATGGCACACTCAGATCCTTTGGGGTTCCCGTTGGGGTCAGTAGAGGCAGCTCCCACGGTGAATGCTGTTTCCCATATATCCTACATGGTCCTAAATTGACTCTAGAAGGACCCCCAAGAGTCAATGGATGCTGCAACAAGGCAGAAACCAGCGCACCTGCCATGGCTGCCGCCGTGGGTGGGGCTGAGTATGTCCTGCTGTGTACTGGCCTCTGGAACTTCCCTTTGGTTGCTTTAAGTTAGATGGTAAGTCTGCCCCAACTGCTTTGAGAAGTTTCTGAACACTTTTAAGTACTTCAGAGTCGAGAGTGACTGGTAACTTTGACACCCCACCCCCACCCCGAGGTCAAGTATAAATTACTTTTCCTTC